TATATATATATATATAGTCCCAGCAGTATGTAACCTGCGTTATTTTGAGCCAATCACCTGAGCATGATGCTAGTCACATTAACTAGTCAAACTTTGACCACTAATAACTATTTGCTTAGCATTATTAAGTCTCATAGCAAGGGCTAGCAGATATCAGCCAAAAGAAAATTGTTTCAGTGGTTTTGATGAACGAAGACAAACTTTTTTTGATAATGTATATCACATGCTCTGATCAATCATGTACAATAAGAAGGAACGTATTAAAAAAAGTCAATAAAGTCCGTAGCTAACAATCTAACTCATGCTAACAACGGAAAATAATTTGTGTCTTTCTCCAGAAACATATTGGCAGATGTTTTAGTGAGTTTGACAGAGCTTTCAGTGAGGCTGAGTTACTGTACATCAGTATTGGATCTTGGATGGCTAATGATCTCTCTGACGGGGTTCATATGTTCAGACAAGCAGCATCATTAGCCGAGCACATGACTTGATCAATATCATAGGTCGATGCCGAGCACTGCCGCCCAGTTCTGTCAGTTTCTCTGTCTTTCGCGTGTTCCCTCTCGCCATTATCATGCAAATGACCCAGCCACCTGAAAAGAGGACAAGAAAAGGTGTCCCACGGGGTCTCATTAGCCATTCAGAGTTCAGATGTGGGGCGGGTCGTGTTGTCATGTGTAGATGATTGGAGCGCAGCCCTTTGACAGCTGTGACAGGCGTATGGGTGGCCCCCAGCACCCCCCCCCCTTTTTTTCCACTCTTGGCCCATCTGTCAAATCACCGCTGCGCACTCTGGGAAATGATATACAGGGCCGCTCCTCAATTAGACGTGTTAGGACAAGAGGGAAGTGTCATTTTGGTGACATGGATAACCTGAGCCCACAAAGGCCACTTACCGCCGGCAGATACTAAATGAATCTAGAGTGGAGCGAGTCACAGAAATATCAATTTAATCATCTCTCGGAAGGCACCTTGCACTTAGATTTTGTTAAACCCAAAGCTTTATAGGTGACATAATGTGACAAAAGTGATAACGTTTAGGTTTCGATTAGGAACGGTGCTGGAGAAGTTACTTTAGCTTTTAAAGTTTACAATTTAAAGTAGTCCAACTACTAAAATAGCTACCCAGTAAACACAGAACATCCCCCTTATGTTAGTATTTGGTTCCCATTTGTTTTGGGAACCTAATAAAAGTTCTAGGAACATTCTTAAATTAGCGCTAACTAAGTTAGGCTTATTGTTAGGTTTTACTTTTTATGACCATGAAATTATGTTCCAAGAATGTTGCAGGGAGGTTTTTCGATGCAACCTTTCACTACAAAAATGTTGTACAATAAATTCTTCACAAGTACTTGAACTAACTGAACTCTCTGTGAACATGTTAAAATGAAACTTTCCGATGCTGTATTCTAGAGAGAAAAGACAGTATCAGAGAGAGCTTTGGAACAGTTTACAGTTGACAAAAACTAACAATGAAGCGTCTGTCACTGAACATCAAATCGTAATGGGGCGGACAAGAGACGTGCAGATCCATTTGCAAGCTTTTATAAAGACGTGGTCACAAAACAGGCAAGGATCAGACAATGGCAAACAGATATATTGAGGGCAAGACAAGAGAGTAATCCAAAACAGGTGTAGTCGAACGATGGCTAACAATATCCAGAGGGTTTGACAAGAGGGGTAATCCAATAACATGAGCAATGGTCCAGGCAAGGCGCAAACATAGTCCAAACGACAAGACAAGAGAAAACCAAGACAGGCAGATAATCAGGAAACAGGCGATCACAAGACTAAGAACTGAGACAGGAAAACTAAACTGGCTCCGTAATGTAGCTATCGCTAAGAGAGTGATAAACACTAAACAATACTTGGCAAATTGAGTGGTTGTTATATAGTGTGTGTGTGTGATTGGCTGCAGGTGAGTCCAATCAGTGCAATGGAGCATGGGAAATGTAGTCCCGGGTGACGTGCAACAGTTTGTGTGGTGTGAGAGTCAATGTAATCGGAAGGCAACCTCTGGTGGCGAGCAGACGGAAGGCCACGGACCGGATTTGTGATGCAGATAATATAATATTAATGAAATAAAAGGCCACTTAAGTGACAAGACTTTCATGACTGTTTCTTAACACACTTTAAAAAAGTGCTCTTTATAATAATGTCAAATTTGTAATAAGTACATTTTGAATAATTGTTATATAAATCTTTTGTTTAAAGAAGTACACGTATTTTGATGTGTTGACTAGTTTTGACTGTAGTGTTATTCAATAGTATTTAAAGTTAATATATTTTAAATGCACTACTGTAAATGGCAACTTCTTTGCAAATGTGTATATTTAAATACATTACATACAAATTTTAATAGAAATTACAAAGTATATTGTAGTTGGATAGTATGTGAACATACTATGTACTTTAGTAATTACAATACAACCTACCCTAAACATAACCCATGTCCTTATATTATCCAGTACTTTCTTAAGCACACTGTAAGTACAGGTAAGTGCATGTACTGTAAAATAAATACATGTATTTCCTATAAGTTCTTGTCAGTACATTCAGCAGCACACTTTAAAGATATTTTAAAGACTATGGAATTATGAAAGTATATAAAGTACTTAAGTCCTACTTAAATGGGTCAAGAAAGCACTTTTGTAACCACAACCTGCTAACTGTTAGCTGCTGGCACATAGCTACACAGGTGGCTACATTATTATGAAACAGTATATAGTGTACTTTGCTTTAAGCGTAATTAAAGTTGTAGTGCTTATGTAGCAGCAGTTTTAAAACAGTCATTGTAAAGCAGTTCTGAGGTAATTACAGTCCATGAAAGTGTTATCCACAGACCTTATTTTACTCAGTAATTTGAAACACATGCTAAAACAAGTATGTTTTGACTGGCTGTGATTATTTTACATTTTTCCTTACAGTGATGGCAGATAAATTACTTGTCGCTGGTGTTTATTGTGGTTTGACTGGCAGTCGCTTCTCCTGTCAGGACTTTTCTTAAACCTTTCATGAATTGCTAATGGTGTCATTTAAAGCTCAAACACACGTGTCCAAACGCGCAGCGCTTTGCATGTTCGAGACAGACAGACCCACTCTGGTCACAGAGGCGTGATGTTTGCCCTCACCGCTGTCTCGCCAGCTCCTCACCTTTGACTCAGTGCTGTATTTAGCGGAAGTGCTCTGGTTCTGGCCGGCTGTATTGCCGGGCTTGTCTAAATATGACTGGCCTGTTGGCAGGTTTCATTACACTCACTCAAGCTCCTGCCCAGCAGCCCGTTCCACAGGCCTGTCAACCGCATGATCAGGGGTGCATGAAGACAGGAGCCTCTATCACACTTCCTCTTTTTTAATATAGGCAGATTTCTCCTAAAATGGCTCTTGCTGTAGAGGAAGTGTATTTAGATGAGCCAAAGAAGAGGGCTATGGAGAAACAGGATGTTGTTTGGACCAGTTCCTAACTGGTTTTTGATGGGCAGTGCTGGTCTGTTACTGGGACAGGTTGGCTAGTGTTGCAAGCAGGCCAGGCTGAGCAATGTGCCATGGTGGATGACCAGCCAAAACCAGAGTGAGAGTGTCCAAAATACACCTGATCATAATGGTCATCATTATTAAGCTCTTTCTGGTCATTTATAAATGGTGACCAGCTTCAATTGCAGTTAAAACTAGGTTCTTTTGTTTGTTTTTGAAAGTGGGAACAGAAATAGATCTAATATAATTACATTAATTATATAATTTAAAAAGTACAGAAGCATTACCATGGCACAGTGATGTATTAGATGGTAACAACATAGTAATAACACTATTATTACAAATTATTTTGGGAATAACTGTGGTCCATGGCCCAAATTTCATGGAATTACTGTCAAAAAAACAAACAAAAACAAAACAAACATTATTGCTGTGGTATACTTCCAAAAACACAGTATTACCACAGTAAATCTTTTGCAATGGTACATACGTAAAAAGTACATGCATCTCAAATGAAATATAGTATTAGTCATTGGTGATATGCCCCACAATTTAAGATGAAAAAAAAGGATTGAATGAATGAATGAATGAATAAATAAATAGTATTCTCTAAAATATGGTACATACCCCATAATTATTACCATAGTAATTGCAAAAAAAAAAAAAAAGTATACATATTCCAAAATACACACTATAAACCTATATTGTGATACTGTTATCATGACAAAAAAAAGGTATTACAAACATGCCCAAAATATGGTATTTACCCCATAAGTATTACCCCAGTTAAACGTTAAAAACACATGGTATTTTATAATACATTCCTGAATCTATGATATTACTATCTTGCATGTCTA